GCGACAGGGGTTCTTCTGGAGATGCCAAAGGCTGACAAGGCCAACCAACTTGGCCAGCGTGCAAGGGCTTTTGCATCAGCTGCTTCAGCTATTGGCCGCTACGTTGAGCGTCGCCCTTGGCCATGTGGCATTACTTCTCAAACGGTCAACAACCTGCAGAACACGTGGGGTCTCCCTCGTTGCGCTGGTCTCCCATGGAGACCCCTATTGCTTCATCCTGATGCTGTGGAAACCTTTTTCAATGCTGCTGGTAATGTGATCTATGCTTCAGATGCGGATTTCTTTAACCAAGAACCTCCTCTTTTGGTCCCATCCCGTGAGTCTTTTTGGGATGAGCAGGTGCGGCGAGTGCCAATTTATGTGCGCCGCGAAGAGCGTCGAGGTCATGAACATGTGCCGCAACTGCAATGGTGTATACAGGGCGACGCCTCCTCAGAGGCTGTTTCAGTTTCCACCAAACTCTCCAAAAAGGTCACCGATTGGATGAAAAAGCAAACGAAGGTGGCGGAGCATAATCGCACTGCTGCAGAACGGAAAAGACACTGGATCGTGCTCCCTGAGCCACCTGACCCTTCCTTGTCTGGTGATCAGTACGTACAGCTTGTGCAAGGTTTGAAGGTGCACTGCCTATGGTGCAAGCGTGAGAGATGCCTTTCTGTTTATGGTGCTTTCATGGACGTTCCATGCCCTGCTTGTTAAGGTTGAGTCTTCACTGCCTTATGGTGGCCTACTCTTGGCGTGCGAAGGGACTTCCTCTTGGTCGTCTCCATTTTCTACTGGTTTGTTTTCAGGGGTGGATGATAACCCGTGCTCGGTTGCGTACATCCTCAACAACATCATCATCATCATCATCGACTTCGAGGAGGCGATCCAGACTTACTTCTCGCTGGCACGGCGCGCTTGCACGGCGCGGACTCATCGCTTTGCAGCACAGTGCCAGTGGACCCGACCATGCTGAATGGCATGCAACAGCTGCGATGGTCTGCAAGCAGTGATCGCTTCAAGGTTTTGCAGGACAATCTCGGGACGGACAAAAAAGTTTTAGTTAGGCTCGCCATGACATTACATACTTGGTCACGTATTGTGATGTGGTGCATATCATCGAGTCCTAATTAATACCCTTAGGCCTTAGCTTCAGACTTTGATACTGCGTATGTAATTATGGCCTGCTCCTATAATTGTTTGAGGGGATAGGCTGGTTCCCCCACCCTGGCTGGGGGCCAGGTCGGTTCTTTGCCTGACTCAACGCCGTCGTGACAATTGAATTTGAAAATGAAGTGCATCAGCATGAGTCAACCAGAACTGTCTGAGACTTGCTGATGCACGCATCTTTGCTTGAGACATTCAGTTTCACCATAGTGCATCCTGTCTCACCATAGTGCATCGGCGTGGGTCAAGCAGAACGGTCTGAGACTCCATAGAAGAGCAATAAAGCTGCCGATTCCTTTTGCGCATATAGTTGTGCCGGGGACATCGCTGAATGTGATCTGTCACAGTCATTAGTCATAGTCCTTGAATGCTTTGCGGGTCCGCATTGTTGGTCTGTGCAGCTAGGTTTGCATCGAGTCAGGGCCCCGGGATGGGATGGATTACCTGGATAAGCTGCTGCCACAAAGAAACAAATCGATATATTTCATATTGAGATAGAGCTAGAGATATGATATAGAGATGGATGTATGAGTGTTAATATATAGAGATGGATGTATGAGTGTTAAGATAAGAGTTTCAATTCCAGTCACAGCATAAAGAACCAACTTATATCATATTGTAATACTGTGCGTGTCCCAGCCCAGAAACGGTCGCTGCCTGCCAGGTCCGCCCGTTTATACTTTTTTTTTCAGGAGATGGCAAACCACCTTGGTTGGGGGGCCCCAAAGCACATAGCCCGCATGACATGTTTATACATGCTGGTTTCGAGGCACATGGAAATAGGACTTCGCCACACCACCCCGTCGGATTGCTGAGGTCGCCACGACAACGATGACTTCGCTGTGACGACATGGGCCGGCCTCTGTGTAAAAGCGTCTGTGTGTACAAGTGATTGTGTGTAAAAGCGCTTGTGTGTAAAGCCGTCTGTGTGTAAAAGCGTCTGTGTGTCAAAGTGTTTCTGCGTAAAAGTGTTTGTGTGTAAAAGCTTCTGTGTGTACAAGCGTCTGCGTGTAAAAGCGTCTGTGTGTAAAAGTGTTTGTGTGTAAAAGTGTTTGTGTAAAAGTGTTTGTGTGTAAAAGTGCCTGTGTGTAAAAGCGTCTATGTGTAAAAGCTTCTGTGTGTCAAAGCGTTTGTGTGTAAAAGCAGCTTCTGTCTGTAAAAAGGTCTGTGTGTAAAAGTGTCTGTGTGTAAACATGTCTGTGTGTAAAAGTGTCCGTGTAAAAGCGTCTGTGTGTAAAAACATCTGTGTGTAAAAGCGTCTGTATGTAAAAGCTTCTGTGAGTAAAAGCTTTGTGTGTAATAGCCTCTGTGTAAAAGCTTCTGTGTGTAAAAGCTTCTGTGTGTAAAAGCTTTTGTGTGTAAAAGCGTCTGTGTGTAAAAGTGTTTGCGATGCAAACTATTGTCTTGCACTTCTCACTATTTTGTCTTGCTACTCCGCTTCTCGACTGCCTATAACACATCTTTCATATATTGTTTGTAAAATTGTGTCTCCATACTAACAAGAGAAGACCCTGCTCCTCTACGCTCTCGGGCCATCCGTCGTCTAGTTTTTGTGGTGGCACTGTGTTAGATGCTGTAGGTGGATGATCGAGAAGTTGCATGGGCTGCCAAATTGGAAGAACTTCGCGTAGGAGCTGTTTCACATGGTGTGGAATGGCTCCGTAGTGCTCTGTCAGAAATGTTCAGCAGTGAGCTTCGGCCCCTGGCTGCTGCGGGTGGTGTGGAGACATGACCCGACAACAAATGGCTCACTGTAGCCGAGCTGCGCGACGCGTTGATGAAAGTCTTGGCGCCATCAAGGGAGGTTGGGTGCGTCAAAAATGAGTTTTAATCATTTTTTTTTTTTTTTTTTTTTTTTTTTTGGGGGGGGGAGCGCGGGGCGGGGCTGGGGGGCGCGGTGCGCCGCGGGGGGGGGGGGGCGCGGGGGGCGGAGGGGTGAGGGGCGGCTTGGGGGGGCGGGGGGGGGGGTGGGGGGGGGGGAGCGGTGGGGCGGGGGGTCCCCTGTTTCTCTTGGTTTTTTATTTTTTTTTTTTTTGTTTTTTTTGTGTGTGTTTTTTTTCTTTTTTTTTTTTTTTTGGTTCTTCTTTTTTTTGTTGCTCTAGTTTTTTTCTGTTTTTTTTCTTTTTTGTTTTTCCCGAGAGCGCCTGCGAAGGGTTCTTCGTAAAAAAGCAGCTGTTGTAATACATCTTCACACCTTGCATCTGCTGATCTAGATCTTCAGACCTTCACATCTGCTGATCTACATCTTCACACCCTCACATCTGCTGATCTACATCTTCACACCTTCACATCTGCTGATCTACATCTTCACACCCTCACATCTGCTGACCTACATCTTCACACCTTCACATCTGCTGGTCTACATCTTCACACCATCACATCTGCTGATCTACATCTTCACTCCCTCACATCTGCTGATCTACATCTTCACACCCTCACATCTGCTGATCTACATCTTCACACCCTCACATCTGCTGATCTACATCTTCACACCCTCACATCTGCAGATCTACATCTTCACACCCTCACACCTGCAGATCTACATCTTCACACCCTCACATCTGCTGATCTACATCTTCACACCCTCACATCTGCAGATCTACATCTTCACGCCTTCACATCTGCAGATCTCCTCTCGCTCTTCTTTCTATCTCTCTCTTAAGGCGGGGTCGGTGCCGCCGGAGCGCCACGAAACGCAACCCTTTCGCACGAAATGGACGTTGGATGTCAAAAACTGAGGTAAAATTGCGATTTGAGTTAGTCCATCGCAACCCTTTCGCACGAAATGGACGTTGGACGTCAAAAACTGAGGTAAAATTGCGATTTGAGTTAGTCCATCGCAACCCTTTCGCACGAAATGGACGTTGGACGTCAAAAACTGAAGAAAAATTGCGATTTTACTTTGACCATCGCGACCCTTTCGCACGAAATGGACGTTGAATATCAAAAACTGAGGAAAAATTGCGATTTCACGGGTCCGGTCTCTGTGTGTAAAAGCCTCTGTGTGTAAAAGCTTCTGTATGTAAAAGCGTCTGTGTGTAAAAGCGTCTGTGTGTAAAGTTGTCTGCGTGTAAAAGCCTCTGTGCGTAAAAGCTTTTGTGTGCAAAAGCATCTGCGTGTAAAAGCGTCTGTGTGCAAAAGTGTCTCTCTGTAAAATGGTCTGTGTGTAAAAGCGTTTCTGTATAAAAGCGTCTGTGTGTAAAAGCGTCGCGTTTCTTCACATCCACGGAATGATGGTGCCGAGCTTTTTCGGCAATGTGTGTAGGAATTGCTATAGTAAAATGAGATAACACATGTCGTTCGCAGCATCATGGTACCGAGCCTCCTGTGCATTTTTGCTGCTCACATTATATTTCTCCATGTTTTCTTTCTACCCCCCTTTCCTTCTCTCTCTCTCTCCTCCCTCTTTCTCTCTGTGGTTGCAAGACACGTGTCATCTGATGCCCTTTACCAAGTATCCTCTTCTTAATCAATCTTACTTTTTCACACCATATCCTTCCATAGCTCATATAAAATTCACCAACTATTCACCGACTATCTTTTACGACTACCATCCTCAGAGCTGCTTGAAAAACAGCTTTTTCGCTCTCGGTCCAACCGTCGTCTAGTTCTTTAAGTAAAAATTTTCAGCGTTGATGATTTTGAGACCTTCTTGCTGTTTGTAAATAGAGACTATCAAGAAATAACATCATGAGCAATGTCCTTTTACCGTTCTTTCGAGGCTATACGGTCACTATACACAGGCAGACTAAAGCATGGAGCATACGGCGCCATGGGTGTTCATGACAACCTGGTTCATCCTGGATCCCCTGAAGTTTGGCAGTGCGGCAGCTGTTTGCATTCGTCGTTGCTCAGTCCAAGTAACCGATACCAAAGAGCTGCCGAAGCTGTTCGTACAAAGCGAAGGAAAATACACTCCTGAGCCAGGCAAATCGGTAAGACATCAGGTGTCATCGAGATATTCATAATCAGCAAGCGAGCTGTCTCGGAGAAATGTTCAACCCTACGAAAAACACCCGCAACCAGGCAAAGATCTGTGTCACCAATATCACAATAGTCGCATGAAGAGGAACATGTTGCAACATGTAAGGATACTGTAACTTCAAGAGCTTGCGCAGGCTTGGCAGGCTTTGAGAGTCAGACACAGGAACAAGGCGAACAAAAGCAGGCACCCATCCACGGAAAAGAACTGATGGTCCTGACCTCACACAGTCTGGCATCGATCAAATTGACTGATTTGTATGAAAAAAAGGGGCTGTGGCTCCTCGCAATTGCATTGCATACATCATATCTACATCCACAAAGACCGGCATTTGAAATTACCTTAGATATAGCATGTATTCATGCATGTATGGATGGATGGATGTATGCCTGTCTGTCTGTATGTATGCATGCATGTATGTATCGTACGTACGTACGTATGTGTATGTATGTATATATATAAATATGCATGTACACATATCATGGATATATGTAAGGGTAATCTATGATAAGAGAGTTACGCATATATTAAAAAATATTCGATTACGTAGAAATATGTATACTGTTACATACGTAAGTATTCGATTACGTAGAAATATGTATACTGTTACATACGTAAGTACAAACAAACATACATGCATGCATGCATGCATCCATCCATCCATACATTACATACATTACATACATTACATACATTACATACATTACATACATTACATACATTACATACATTACGTACATTACATACAGTACATACAGTACATACATTACATACATTACATACATTACAAACAAAACATTAATAACACACATAACATACATTGCATACATTACATACATTACATACCTTACATACGTTCCATACGTTACATACATTACATGCATTACAAACAAAACATTAATAACACACACAACATACTTTGCATACATTACATACATTACATACATTACATACCTTACATACGTTCCATACGTTACATACATTACATACATACATACATACATACATACATACATACATACATACATACATACATACATACATACATACATACATACATACATACATACATACATACATACATACACACATATACACACACATACACATACATACACACACATACACACACATACATACATACAGACATACAGACATACAGACATACAGACATACACACACATACACACACATACATACATTACATTACATTACATTACATTACACTACACTACATTACATTACATTACATTACATACATACATACATACTATTACATACTATTACAAACTATTACATACTATTACATACATTTACATACTATCAGTTACATTTACATACTATTGCATACATTTACATACATTTACATACATTTACATGCATTTACATGCATTTACATACATTTACATGCATTTGCATACATTTACATACATTTACATACATTTACATACATTTACATACATTTACATGCTTTTGCATAAACTTACATACATTTACATGCATTTCCATACATTTACATACATTTACATACATTTACATACATTTACATACATTTACATACATTTACATGCATTTACATACATTTACATACATTTAAATGCATTTGCATACAGTTAAATACATTTACATACATTTACATCCATTTACATACATTTACATACATTTACATACATTTACATACATTTAGATACATTTACATAATATCAGTTACATTTACATACTATTGCATACATTTACATACATTTACATGCATTTACATAAATTTACATACATTCACATACATTTACATGCATTTACATACATTTACATACATTTACATACATTTAAATACATTTACATACCTTTACATGCATTTCCATACATTTACATACATTTACATGCCTTTCCATACATTTAAATACATTTACATACATTTACATACATTTACATACATTTACATACATTTACATACATTTACATACATTTACATGCATTTACATAAACTTACATACATTTACATGCATTTGCATACATTTAAATACATTTACATACATTTACATCCATTTACATACATTTACATGCATTTACATACATTTACATACATTTACATGCATTTACATACATTTACATACATTTACATGCATACATACATACATACATACATACATGCATACATACATACATACATACATACATTACATACATTGCATACATACATACATCCATACATCCATACATCCATACATGCATGCATGCATATATGCATACATACATACATACATACATACATACATACATACATTACATACATTTACATACATGCATACATACATACGTACATGCATACATACATACATACATACATACATTACATACATTGCAAACATACA